GTGTTTCACCTCCTTCTTGAAGAATTTGGATAATCTTTTCCGAACAGACTATTTCAGCTCGATTTTTGGATAGCCAATCCATGCCTATAACTATATCAAAACTTCCTAACTCAATCGGAATAAGGTCTATGCTAAAATCCTTCTTGGCTAAACTTAAAGTGCAGTCCATGATTATGTCTCTAGCCCTAATTTCTTGACCATTAGCAAATTCTATTATGTAAACTTCTTTCAACTTTTGAGGTTTTAAGTTAATCTTCGGCTTAAAATTTAATGATACAAAACTTCTATCTGCTCCTGAATCAAATAATACCGATGCAAATTCATTATTCAAGATAAATGTACCTGTAACCACATTGGGATCATGCCTAGCCTCCCTTGCTCCAATTTCAAATGCTCGGGCCCGTGCTTGACTTTCTGAGTTTCCTTGATTGGCTGGTTGGGCTTGGTTAGCATTTGTTTCTTGTTTTCTCTTCGGACAAACGTTTCTCATATGATCCGGACTTCCACAATCAAAACACAATCGCTTTCGGCAATCCTTTGTAGGATGGCCCCCTCTGTGGCATCTTTGACAAATGATGCAATTTCCCCAGTGCGGATATTTACATTTATTGCACTTAGGTTTGCTTCCTTGATTTACCACTTGGGTCTGTACCCCAAAATTTCCTACCACTTTCTTATTCTTGCCAAATCTTCCCCCAGATCTCTGGTTCCCAAGTTCTTCCACCTTTCTTTTTTCCTTTGTTGAATTCCCCAGACCGAATAGCATTATTTGTGAGCTTGGTCGCAATGTTTATTGCCTTCTGAAGGGTCTTTAAGTTTGCCGAGGTGATATTACCTCGAATTTCTGGAGACAATCCTCAAATATATCTCTCGATTCGGACTTCCTTAGGTGTTACCAGATGACTAAATTTGCTAACTCATGGAATCGAGCAGTATATGCAGCTATGTTTTCCCCTTTCATCTCATGGTTCCATAACTCCATTTCCAACTTTTGGAGTTCACTCCTAGGACAGTATTCGTCCTTAAGTAATTTCTTGAACTTCTCCCATGATAGTTGGTTGGTCGTTTCCTGACCCCTAGTCTGAACTAACGTGTTCCACCATGTCAATGCTCGGCCTTGCAGTAAGCATGCAGCGTATTCTACTTTGTTTGCTTATGAGCATTTACTAATATGGAGGACATATTTCATACCCTCAATCCAGGTTAATAATCCTACAGCTCCCTCAGTTCCATGGAATTCTTTTGGGTTGCAGGATCTGAATGATTTATAGGTGCATTCCCTGGGTGTTCTAGGCTYAGAATTGGTTGGTTGGTTAGCTTTCAATCCTACCGCTACCTGGCTGACAATATTGAGAAGTGCGGCCAAGAGTTGTTCTGACACGAGTCGTGCAACTTCAGGGTTTTCTCTTCTTGACGGCATTTTCTAAGGCCTAAGTTAAAAGGGAATCTCGTCATTTTTATAGCAATGTCATTGACAATATTCTCTAATCAACAGAATGATGCATAGGATATTCATCTTGTAGATATCATTCAAACATTTACATGATTAAACATAATAGGTTTATATTCAGCTAAGGTTCAGTACATTTAAATATTTTCAAAAGATGCTACGGGCTTACAGTTGATTACAACCCTCAAAACAGATCTTAGGTTTCAATGCAAAAGAGTAAATGTTCTATCACTAGTCATCGCTTTTAAAGCAACATCCAACAGATCAGCATTCCTAGCATTAGCATCATCAACACACTCGCCACTAGACATTTATACAATTTCCTAATCTCTCGCCTAGCAGCGAGGACGGCATCCGAGGTTCTATCATATGCTGGTGGTGCATCTCCAATACATTGGACAGGTTGTTCAAAATGTAGTGGTGATACCCTAGCCGGGTCTGGTGAGTTTGAGTCTCTAATGCGATACCCCGCACCCACTCTCGTTCATCCAGAGTCATACCCTGGGTGTATGATGCAAGTACCCCAGTCACCACTCGTGAGACTCTGCTCCCATGCTGCGGTTGAGATGCCTCTCCTCTTGTTCTATTAGAGTTCTCGAAAGTCACCCGTCGAGGTAGTGGTACACTTTTCCTAGCCGTGACCCTAATCCTCGAACCATGAAATGTTTGAGGTGGAATATCGGGCACTGGCTCCGATAGGGGTAATGTTGATGCAGGTGGTAAAGCAGGTGTCTCGCTAGTCGTTGTGTCCTCATGCTCATATGGGTCTACATCTTCATTGATTGATAAGCTCCTTCTAGATCGACTAACAACATAACCAGATTCGTCTGCCAAATATTCGCTAGGAATAGATGATGACATAGTGATCTGCGATATTAACAAACTTAATTACTAGACATACCATCAATAAGCTTAAGGTTAGGACAAAAGTTACTATGCAGGGACAAAGGATGGCAAAGTAATTTAGAGCCTCAGGATTACCAAAGCTTCTGGTTGTATTACCAGAGCTTCTGGTTGCATTGCCAGAGCTTCTGGTTGAAGTTCCCATACTTAAACAATAAGTGAATTTTCTAGTTCATCGGTCTCTGGCTCCTCATGCATAGCAAACCAATGGATCTCTTGGTCCATCAACCTCTGGTTCCTCATACTCAACAAACCAATGAATCTCTTGGTCCATTGACCTCTGGTTCCTCATACATAGCAGACCAATGGATCTCTGGTCCATCGATCTCTGGTTCCTCACACTTAGTACATCAATGAATCTCTTGTCCATCGACCTCTGGTTCCTCATACATTGCAGACCAATGGATTTCTGGTCCATCGACCTCTGGTTCCTCATACATAGCAGGCCAATGGATCTCTGGTCCATCAATCTCTGGTTCCTCATACATAGCAGACCAATGGATCTTTGGTCCATCGATCTCTAGTTCCTCACACTTAGTAGACCAATGAATCTCTGGTCCATCGACCTCTGGTTCCTCATACATAGCAGATCAATGGATCTCTGGTTCCTCACACTTANTCCTCACACTTAGTAGACCAATGAATCTCTGGTCCATCGACCTCTGGTTCCTCATACATAGCAGATCAATGGATCTCTGGTTCCTCACACTTAGTGATATAAAGGATTTTTAATTCATTGGCCTCTGGTTCTAATACACACTTAGCAAATATTTTCCTTTCGAGGACCAGAGCCTCTGGTTTCTCTAACCAGAGCTTCTGGATGCCCTCCACTCATAAGGTTAAATATCCTTTAACCAAAGCTAGAACGCAGAGCTCACTTTATATGTCAAGGCAGATCTTATCTAATACAGAATAAGAGTAATTGAATACAGGGGTTATAGAGACTAGACTCTTTATCTACGTCTAACCACCAAGTATTCAGATACAGAGTTGGCCCTATGGTTGCCTTAGCGCTCTAGATACATAATTGAATCTCATTCCAACTCAAATCATCCTCCGATTGGAATTTAACACATAATTTTGGTACCTTAAGGTTAATCTCATGTGTTTGAATGATTTTGAGCATCCAAATCATCAAGTCAATCTTCAAATCTTTGAATAGTTGCCACAAATGATCAAATTTGAAGTAGATTTGCTTCAATAGGCTTTGATACCAATTGATAATCGCAACTAGCAACAAACTCCATAGAAAAATTGAGTAGAGAATGGCATGAAGAACAGTTAGTTAGAGGTTCAATACTCATAGGCTTCATTACGATGGAGAGAATAAGAGATTTGTACATTCAAAGTTTAACCAGTAAGCTTTCTCTATGTGTGTGTATGTTTAAATGAATATGCCTATTCAAGTTACAAATGAAACCCAAGACACCTATTTATAAGGCAAATACAACAATAAAGCCCAAGCCCACTAACAAGCCCAATTAACAAAGACTTTATAAAACTTTCATCTAAATATGGGTTATTTAGATCCAACAATCTATTTGTACGTGCCAAAAGGGGTTAGGAAAACATGTCCCAATCAACATTAGGTACGTGTAAAGTGAAATTAACGCTTACAGAGGGACTATATCATGCAGCGGAAAAGTCCTCTAGTGTTGGATGTCTTATGGCTGGTCTACTTAGAAAATGTTTTGCTTATAATTGTACTTGATCAAAAAGAAGCTATTTCTGATTTAACTAAGAAGTCATCTTTAGAGTCGTCTTCTATGTTGATCTAGAAGCCTACACTTGTTTTCTCTTTGAGAATATTTCTTTATAATATTGTTACAATAATAAGAAGACTGAGACTTCTAGATATAACACGATCGGAGGAGTCTGCTGTAATGTGTGTTGGAGTTTTCATCGAAGAATGTGTACATATAAGCAAGAACCAATGATCTTCTCCCCCTTCCCTTACTGTCTGCTCCGTCTTTCTTCCCCTCTGGCAACACCAATGATCACACAAGTGGTGGTGTGTTGCTAGTGTGGTGTATGATGCAGGTGGGGGCGGTCCTAACAACGATCGAGAAGGAATGAGATGAAACAACAAATTTTAAGGTGGCCAAGAAGATGATTTGATGATGGAGGTTGGGATCAGGGAGGGGTAGTCAGGAATCAGAGAGGGTCAAAAGGAAATTAAAGAATGGAAGAGAGAGAGAGAGAGAGAGAGAGAGAGAGAATTATTATATATAAAATAGAGGAAAATTCCAGACGAGACATAAATAATTATAAAAAATACCATAATAACGCCTGATAGAACGAAAAATTAGACGCAATGCAAGCTATAATCTTTATCAATATAATAAATGAAGAGCATTGATGAAGCAAAATTTTCAAAAAACCTCACAAAAAGAGATTTATTTAATAACATCTATGTATACTCATATCTAAAGAATGGATCATGCCATTTCTCATATTGGTTCCTTATCTAGAAGTAACTGAGTTGGCTTTTGGCTTTTGGCTTTTGGCTTTTTGAGTAAAGGTACAAATAGCAACTATTTTGTGGGTCTTGAAATAAAAACCAGCAAAAGGCAAGCGTGGGTTTGTATTTGATTCAAGAGCAACTATTTTGAAACCTATGACTACTGAAAACCACCAAACGGTAAGCGTGGGTTTGTGGGTAAACCTTATGCAAACTTACGCCACCTGTTTCTGAAATCTAGAAGAGGGTTTGTGGACTTTCATTCTCACTTTTCAAAATCCGAATACTTAATAGTCTGCCGTTGATTATTGAATGTTTTGATAATCAACCCATTTGTGAGATCTTGACAACTTTTTAAATTTCAACTTGCTTCTTTGAGCCCGTGCGTTAAATATATATAAACATACGGTTCGCGATTCTTTTTTGATACCTAAAACTCTATTCAAGACGATCAAATCAAGTTAACCCATCTGCTGATTTGTGTTTACGACAAGGAAAGCTATGGAAAATCACAGCAGTTGTCCGATGAAAATTGAAACAGGGGATGCAGGTTATGTGCTTGAAGATGTGCCTCACTTAACTGATTACATCCCTAATCTCCCTGTAAGTGATCCCTAACTATCTCTTTCTCTTTCTCTTTCTATATATATATATATATATATGTATATATATATGGACATCTGATCAATTTAGTATCTGATTGGATTTATTTATATTGTTTATGAGAAAAAAGTATTGTTGTTACTTTGACTTTTAGGTTTTGTTTTTCAATTTTAATTTTTAGTCGAAAGATTCCCTAGAAGTATGTTTTGTGGGTTTGTAGATCTGTTGCATAACAATGTGAATCCTTCTGACGAAATTGCTGTTACGGGTAAGATAAACTATGATTTTGGATGTCAAAACAATTTACCTTTTCAAACATTAAACTTGATAAAGTTTTGGATATTTTCTTTGATGCAAGACCTGATTTCATCACCTCGCCCTTGGCTCCGGTTATCTTCAACACGAGGATTATGAACCAAAGAACCTGCCTCTTGATAGTAGACTAGTAGTGGCAATTAGTAAAGGCATCACAAAGAAGTGTTTGACCGATTATAGAAGTGATCAAAGAAAAGTACACCTGAAGAATGTCCACTTTTTAGGTTGGTGCAGTGTTGATCAATTGGCCAATAAGATGCCATGAGCCATGACCATGGAAGCAAATTTTCTTTTTGAAATCAATTATGGAAGTAATTAAGAAGAAGACAATTGTTTGAAAGTACAAGAGTGGTTAAAGCCCCCTTGTTTTGTTAATGAACCCCTCTTTATTTATGGTTTATTGTGGTCTTGGCTTGACCAGGCTGGCCTGAACCCCGTGGGTCTTCTTGGGTAAATGCCTATGGAATACAAGTAGATTTATGTTGGTTGTCATCATGAGACCAAATGGATATCAATTGGCATATGGATTGTACTATGTTTGACATGAAAAGTCAAGGTGTAGTTCTTTTCCATGAATAGTGTTATTGGCCAAACTGGTTCACCAAATAGAATGTTGTTGCAGATCTCTCTTTTATGTTTGAAGTCGATATTTAAGTGGTATTATCCACTTGGGATACCCCTTATGATTAGTGTCCTACTTTTGTTGCCCCTTTATGGATGAATGGGGTGGTAAGAACATGGTGTGTGGAGATTCAACAAAATCAACATACATTTTATCTCAAACTAGATGAGAAAGGTAGGGGAATTCTTGGAAATGAACTTTGTATCTTTCACGAACAAAATTGATGATCATATCTTAGATCTAAACCTAGCAAATCTCAATAATTGATTGGTATATACTTGGTCTACTTATATATATATATATATATATAGAGAGAGAGAGAGAGAGAGAGGCTTTGTGAATGGTAGATACATGAATATGCAATCGTTTGCAATGTTTTGTGTGAATATTTTCTTACAAGGGTCTGTTTCCTACATGAACCGTTTTCAATAAATATATTCTAACTAATTTTTGTTTCTTGTTATTTATTCAATACAGACTTATCCCAATCCATTGCGATCCAATCCTGCATATTCTGTTGTGAAGTAAGTTAAATTTGCATCTTTTCTTCAAGAAAACACAGGTTTACATTTTCTTTATGGCTATTTGTGATGTTAATCGAACCTGTCGGTTTCAGGCAATACTTTGTTGATGCGGATGATACTGTGCCTCAAAAGGTAAGTTTTATTTCTTAGCATGTACAATAGTATATCATGCATATTTGTAAGTTGACATATATGATGGAGTTAAATTTGCGAACTAGAAGAACAATTAGACTGATTTTACCACCAAGTTAAAAACTATTCTTTCCTAAATGACATCAACTATATTTACTTTTTTTTTTGAAAGGGTGTCCCAGGTTGTGCCTGGACTAATCCCAGCAAATTGTGACTGCAAGAAATCAGCCTGATGAACTCAATGGCCACAATTGTTGTGTACGCCTGGAACCGAACCCTGGGCAGAAGGGATATTCCACCACATCCCCTAGGACCTCAACCACTATACCCCAGCCCTTGTGGTTTATATTTACTTATTGGAGTCATCCTAGTTTCAACAATCATATTGATAAAATATTCATGAACTCATAGATGGATATAATCCAATTGTAAGTAAGTGTAACCACTGACCAGGGACGACTTGACTAACTTGTATGTCTTCCTGTAGGTTGTTGTCCACAAGGATGGCCCAAGAGGAATACATTTTCGACGTGCTGGACCTCGCCAAAGGGTACAGTTTTTACTTTTACCTATAATCCGTCTAATATTGGTTTTTGCTAAGGGAGGGCCTTCATTGCTGCAGGTTTATTTCGCACCAGATGAGGTGCATGCCTGTATTGTAACGTGCGGTGGTTTGTGTCCTGGATTAAATACGGTGATCAGGGAAATTGTATGCGCATTGTATCACATGTATGGCGTGACCAAAGTTCTTGGGATCGATGTAAGTCTTTCTTTGACATCACCATCTGATAAATTTCTTTTTGTAGGGACTCGATATTAACCAAGTCTTAGATACCTCCACCTTCAGACTCTCTGATTTGACTGAATACACCGGAAGAAATTGATTAACGCATGATTTGATGATGAAATTATCTCTTCTTTCATTTCTTAAAAGAGATGGAGGTATTGCATGTATTATTTTCCTGGTTATAAATTTTGTGGAAGATAAATTGTAATACTTTCATTTGGTTTTTTATTTGTCTAAAACAAGCTCTATTATAAAATCAACACTATGTTAAATTTGTTGTTCCTTGATTACCCTTCCTTTCTAAATATATGATGAAGTTCATTTTGTTAATTTTGTATCTTATCATGTACAGTGTTCTAGAAAGCGCTAAGCTAAGCTAGGCGGTTGTCAGAAGTTCTAGCTTTTAATCACCTAAGTGGGGATGAAGCTGAAGCATAAGTGGTATATTTTAAAATTACATTAATATTTAGATCAAGTAAACATACAATATATCAGAATTTAATACTATATTACTTCGATACAATTACTTTTCTAAATGACTATTTTCATTATTACAATTAGTTAGAAAAGATCGGAAAGATTCTTTCCAAGTTGATTGACAAAAAGAAGTTGAGCATATTCTATTAATCCATGCTTTAGTTTTTGAAAGTTTAATTCGATTATTAGTTGCTAAACTGAAGCAGTGGGGGGATCCCCCTAAGCGGCCTTAGGCAGGGATTTTAGAACGCTAATCTTGTATAGAAATTAAGGTGTACTCCACTAGATTTTTGTTTATTGTTACCATGTTTTGTCCATCTAGAAAGGGATATGCTCTTTGTTTGTAGAATCTAGCCTTTCACTATTCATATAATTAAAATTGACATGGATGTATTTAGCTTTCTAGCATAATCAGTTTATGATTACAATATGTTGTTACAGTTTGATGCAATAACCATGTTACAACAATTATTGGTCACTTTTGAAGTTAAGGAAGTAACCAAATTTGGCATTGGACTCTCTTTTTGGTGATAAAGGGAGTGCCACAATGTACAAAGAAGTTGTTTTCGTAAAATGAGACATTTTAATAATGGTGTGTAATGTATAAATAAATAGATAACTATTAATGCAAAAATAATACATTTGCACACAGACATTTATCATTATCTATGTTCTGGTTCATTGTTGTTGCTTTGAGTATTCATGCGAAACCAAAACACAAAGATGTGGTCATTATGTTACTTTCCACTAATGTCTCACCTCATATGATGGTGCATTTGTTTTTGTGTAGGGAGGGTATAGAGGTTTCTACTCAAAAAATACCATTACTTTGACACCAAAGTTTGTGAATGACATCCATAAGCGTGGTGGTACAATTATTGGTACTTCTCGAGGGGGCCATGATAAACCAAAGATAGTTGACAGTATTCAAGATCGTGGTATCAATCAGGTGTGTGAAGTATATATTTTTAGCTATTGGTTGTTTGATTAGACAAGAGTTGATGTCACTGATTGGTTCTTTTATGATTCAGGTCTATATCATTGGAGGGGATGGAACTCAAAAGGGAGCAGCAGTTATTTATCAGGTAAATACTCAGCGTCAATCTTAAACAACGAGTCCTTTATTACAAACAAGGCTGAAAATGAAATTCGCCACAAATAAAGAGATGCAAATAAGACATTCACTTGGTTTCTAAATGCTTTGGTGCTTTAAGACATGCACTTTTGGTGCTTTTCTGCACAAGTTTTGTGCAATGTTTGCTTATATAGTGAAGATAGAAAATTAAAAGGGAACAATAAAATGAGAAGGCTGTAAGCACTTCACCAAGTTTGGCATTCCTTCTCAGCTTCTTTATCCGTTCTTGTTTATTAAAAAGGCTAAGTTTTATATATCTTTTTCAATATGTTTTTTTGCCATGTGTTTGTGTGTTTATGTGGCATCTACTTTCCCTTCTCTTCATATACTAACATTATCAACTTCAGGAATTTTATGAAAACTTGAGAGAAGTTGTTCAGTTGGACACTTTTATGGAGATACATAATATGTTTCTTCATGAACAACTATACAAAGTTAAGGTATTCTCTTTACAATCTCATTCTATTTGTGCAGGAAATAAGACGACGTGGACTTAAAGCCGTAGTGGCTGGGATTCCGAAGACAATTGATAATGACATTCCGGTATTTATTTGCATTCCTATAAATAACAATTTCCTGGATTAGCTATATGTTCTTGCGTCAACATGTGTCTACTTAACACATTGAGTTTTCAAGCTAGCCACTATTCAGGAGCCGAGGGTTATTGACCGCTCTTGAACCTTCCATTTTCACTAGGGTTAGAACAGAAGTATTATCAAAGTGCGTAGAGGTAGTTATAATATAAATAGTCTACCTCAAATCATAAAATTACTGAATATAAGCAGTAAAGGTTATCTACAACGGGCACTTATCATAAAAAGGTGAAGACTAGGTTCAAAATAAAGAAGGCATGAACATGATGAATGAAAAATGGTACTTTTAAGTTAAATAGGTGGCTTATCACTGTAATTGATATTTGGTATTTATCTTCATAACATGGACAATATTATTCCAAAATATTAAGTTGGTCACTTGTTTTGGATAGTATCATCTGTGAATGTTTTGGATTTCCTTTGTTTTTTCAATGTAGATAGCTAGTATCTTTGGTCAATGCTTACAGGCTTATTGCATGTTTATTCCAGGTCATTGACAGATCATTTGGTTTTGATACTGCCGTTGAAGAGGCTCAACGTGCTATTAATGCTGCACATGTGGAAGCAGAAAGTGCTGAAAATGGCATCGGGGTGGTCAAACTGATGGGGCGCTACTGTGGTATGCTTCACCTCCAATTGATTTTTGGAAGTTGTGTAACTGTATTAGTAGTGTACTTCACATAGCATCAATAGAGTTATTGTAGAGAAGGTAGCAATCGTAGAATAATTGATCAAAAAAACAATCAATAAGATTAGAGTTAAGTTGAGACCTATGTTGAGGAATGAGGATCTTGACGCAATTTAAAGAACTAAGTGCTGTTTAGATAATTATTTGCTTTATCATTACAAGAAGAGGAGAATTGACATAATGATCTATGCTTAGAAAAACATAAGGCCTGTAAGGTATAAAGAAAAAGGGTAGACACCACCCTTTGGACCGCCCACAATGCACCGGTCCCACGGCCATCATGGGGGAGGTAAGGGCATGTTTGTTAGCAGCTTAATTAGCTTAATGGGACAGCTTATTCGGTCAGCTATATATGACTGTTTGGTAGTGGCTTAATGATAAAGAAAGTGACTTATTCACTAAGATTCTACAGGGGAGTTTTATGCAGAAAGTGAGTTTTTCCAAACCTGGCCCTCCCAATTAAAAAACATTCTCCTTTCATCTAAGAAAAAGCCCTCCCAAACAAAAACCTTCCTAGTCTATACAGACAGATTAATCCATATTGACAACTTTATCCATACAAGACTTGATGGAAAACCAGCCAAACAGCCCCTAAATCACTGCTAGTCGGTAGTAAGTGGTGGTGCAAGGGTATGAACCCAGGACCTCTTTTGTCGATGCCCACCATCCTACCACTGAGACAAGACGCGGGGACTTTTGTAAGGTATAGGGTGTTACGCTCAAGTATTGTATGGTTTTACTCTTTTTGGGCCATAGGCTTATTCTCAACTTCCAGAAACCTTCCATTTTAAAGAGTTTTGGATCATAAGATAACACTCAGTCAAACGTTGGTCGCACTAGGTCAAATATTTCAGGATGTCTGATTATTTCCCTACTGAATATGTAATTGTTGTTTTTCAGGGTTTATTGCAATGTATGCAACTTTGGCAAGTCGAGATGTTGATTTGTGCTTGATTCCGGAATCACCTTTTTATCTTGAAGGAGAAGGTGGACTTTTAGAATATGTAGAGAAACGTCTCAAGGACAACGGACACATGGTTATTGTTGTGGCCGAAGGTGCCGGTCAGGAACTTCTTGCAGCAGAAAGCTTGAGTTCTGCAACTGCACAAGATGCTTCCGGAAATAAACTACTTCAAGATGTTGGATTGTGGATATCTGATAAAATCAAGGTATTTAGCTCATGCTTGATAATTTATAAATTTGAAGCTTGCCCATCATTTTTGCTATTACTGGTCCCTTCCCATGAAACTTGCAATGACTAGTTTCTGTAAAATGTTTTGAGAAATTGTCAAATATGCCCAGGGTCCCAAAGTAAATGACCGCAATAAAAAAGCACACAGTTTCATAAATGTATTAACTAAATGACAATTCTACCCTTAATTATTGCACTTGTTTCCACTAAAAATTTCTCTGTATCATCTCTTAAATATTCTTGTGTCATAATTAAGGATAGAATTGGAAACTTAGTAAATTATAACTATCTATTTTTGAAAGTGGACACTTATATTTTTGGGACACACTTGCATAGAAACGTGGACACTCATCTTGATACGGAGGGACTATCTAAAGGATGCTCTGATGAAGATATAAAAAAAGCTCGTGGACACATATCATGTTTGCTAGTGCTGAAGCTGTGGCCTGTGTTCAAGAAACCGACTAAATTTTGTTAATGACATGGGTGCCACAAGGGTTGGCTACTGAAATTCTGATTTTTCCACAAATATTAATTTTTAACGAGTTTTTTTTCCTTTTTTGTAGGCTCACTTTGCTAAACAGCAGTCGATGCCCATTACTCTTAAATATATAGGTAATTCTTTGCCATCTTATGTTGCTAAATGAATCCCTTTCATCGTGCATTAGAAATGTAAAAAGAGGGGTTGATGTTGATTGTGAGAGTGAAATTGGTATTTCAAATATGACTTCTTTTTCTTGACACACACAACACAAAGGGGTTAGAACAATTGGGAATGATGGAGTTGTTTGGCAGATCCGACTTACATGATCCGTGCGGTTCCAAGTAATGCATCTGACAATGTGTACTGCACTCTCCTTGCTCAAAGTTGCGTTCATGGAGTAATGGCAGGTTACACCGGCTTCACCAGTGGGCTTGTCAATGGTAGACAGACTTATATTCCATTCAATGTAAGTTAACAAACTCCATTTTTTTGATGAAATAGCAATTGGGATGAGATGGTTTTTTATAATCTTATATGTATTATATATATAAATATATATATTGTTGTGCAGCGTATCACTGAGAAGCAGAATAATGTTGTGATAACCGATAGAATGTGGGCAAGGCTACTGTCTTCTACCAATCAACCGAGCTTTCTGGGACCAAAAGACGTGATTGAAGTCCAGAAACAGGAGGAACCGCCGGCTCAGACTCAGTTATTGGATGGAGAAAATAGCAAGACGGCAGACAATTAAATCAAGATTCACGATTATGCACAAAAATAATAGGCACTACAAATTTGCTATTGTGGATGCGCGATTAACCATCTGTATTGGAGCATCAGATAAGTTTACTTAATTCATGATCCGAGCCTCTTCCGAAAAAAAAACATTAAAATTGAGGAGTCTTTTGTTTTGGGATATTTTAGTATGCAGCTGTGACTGGTCTTGCATTTTGAGCACCCTTTGTTGATCTTACCCACTTTTTGATTTTGTGTGGATGAATGCCATATAACTCGGATCATATAGGGTTGTTGGGCACAAAATTGATTAGAAACCAGGAACCACCTACGGTACACCAAGTTATTCATCATGAATATGTGATTCATGATTAATAGGAATCCATATTTAGCATAAATGTGTGATTCATGATGAGTAACACTTCTAAATTCATCTTTAAATGTGTTATTCATCGTGAAGAGGGACACGTATCGTGGGCAGTCGGGTTTCTAATCGATTTTGGGTTTTGTAATCAGAGAGAACTAGGACCGAGATATTAAAGAGAATTCTTTATTATATGATTAATCATAATATTCTAATTTACAAGAGGAGAGACACTATATATAGACATAATTACACGGGAAACCCTAACCCTAAAGCCCATCGGACTTGGACACATTACCATAAACAGGTTACTTAATTAACACTCCCCCTCAAGCTGGAGCATATATATTGATCATGCCCAGCTTGTTAAAAAAAGATGTGATTCGGTTCCCTGGTACGCTTTGGTGAAGACGTCGGCTAATTGATTGCTAGTTCTGACATGAGAGGTTGAAATAGATCCATCTTCAAGCTTTTTCCGAGTGAAATGACAATCTATTTCAATATGCTTAGTTCTCTCGTGAAATACGGGATTGCTTGCAATATGGATAGCTACCTCGTTGTCACACCATAAATTCATTGGTGTAGATTGATTAAATCTAATCTCTCCCACTAGATTACGCAGCTATATCAACTCACAAGTAGTTTGAGTCATTGCACGGTATTCAGATTCAGCGCTTGATCTTGATACAACATTCTGCTTCTTGCTTTTCCAAGATACCAGATTCCCTCCTACAAAGACACAGTAGCCTGTTGTTGATCGTCTGGTTGTTGGGTCTTCATCATAGTCTGCATCAGTAAACCCTTCTATGACATAATGACCATGGTTTTGGTACTTGATGCCATAACCAGGAGCTCCCTTCAGATATTTCAAAATATGGCAGACTGCATCCCAATGTGTAGTTCTTGAAGACGACATAAATTGACTCAATACACTTACCGGAAAGGCAATATCGGGACGCGTGATTGTCAGATAATTCAGCCGTCCCACAATTCTCCTGTACTTCTCTGGGTTCTCAAGAGGATCCCCATCATCAGACTTTAGCTTTACATTCGGAACCATAGGAGCTTCACATGGTTTCGTGTCGATCATGCAAGAATCATGTAGTATGTCAAGGCAGTATTTTCGTTGAGATAGGCAAATTCCTTTGTGATTCCGAGATACCTCAATACCYAAGAAATATTTCAGTGGACCAAGGTCCTTAGTTTGAAATTGAGATGCGAGGAATTCTTTCAACTTCTTAATTCCATTCTCATTACTGCCCGTAATCATAATATCATCGACATAAACCACTAGCAGGATACATCCAGAATCAGATGAAGTAAAGAACACTGAGTGATCATATGAGCTTCTTCGTAACCCAAATGTAGTTACCACAGAATTGAACCGACCGAACCATGCACGAGGTGATTGCTTTAGGCCGTATAACGACTTCCGCAATTTACAGACCTTCCCAGACTCCCCCTGAGCAACAGACTCGGGGTTGCTCCATGTAGACTTCCTCTAGCAGATCGCCATGTAAGAAGGCGTTTTTCACATCTAATTGGTGAAGAGGCCAATTATAGGTAGCAACTAGAGAGATGAAAAGCCGAATAGACGCCATCTTTGCAACAGGAGAAAAAGTTTCAGAATAATCCACTCCATAAGTTTGGGCATACCCCTTTGCAACCAAACGAGCTTTTAACCGTGCTATCGAGCCATTAGGATTAACTTTCACAGTAAACACCCACTTACAGCCAATTGCTCTTTTGTCAGCATGTAACTCTACCAAATCCCATGATAGTGTTATGATCAAGAGCATTGAGCTCATCAATCATAGCATCCCGCCATCCAGGACGAGTCAAAGCGTCTCCAACCGTAGATGGAATAGGTATAGAATCAAGGGTAGAGACCAAAGAACGAGATGACATGGAGAGTTTATCATAAGAAACAAAGGAAGCAATAGGATACGTGCAGGAACGTTTACCTTTTCGGAAAGCAATAGAAGCGTCAAGATCAGGATCCTCATTTACTGGAGTGGGTATAGAAGCTTCAAGAGGTACATCTTCTGGGGATGGTGGATCTGCAGATTCAGATGATATTGGTGAAGACGGAGGAGGTCGTTCGCGCCTATTATATACATGAACAATGGGTGGTTTGGTGGCTTGAGTAGTGGACTCAGGAGTGGGTATGGCATACACCAACAAGTCATCATCTTTCTCATTTAAAGGAGTCGGAGGGGAAATTGGGAAGAACGGCACGTTCTCATAGAAGGTAACATCCCGAGATACAATATAGCGGTTAAGATTGGGAGAGAAGCACCTGTAACCCTTTTGGAGACGAGAGTACCCAAGGAACACGCATTTCAGAGATTTGGGATCAAGCTTGGTGATAGTGGGGCGTGTGTCAGGAACAAAGCATGTAACACCGAAGATCTTTGGCTCAATAGGGAATAATCGTTGTCCTGGGAACAAAACAGAGAATGGAGTTTCTCCATTCAGGACAACATACGACATTCTATTGATAAGAAAACAGGCTGTTGATACTGCATCAGCCAAAAAGACTGAGGGACGGACATCTGAAACAGAAGTGCTCGGGCAACCTCAAGGAGGTGACGATTTTTTCGTTCGGCTACCCCATTTTGTGCTGGAGTATCAACACATGAGGACTCATGAAGGATACCATTTTGCAACATATAGGATTGAATTTGTTGGGATACATACTCTTTTGCATTGTCACTTCGTAAAGTTTTAATAGATGTTTGAAACTGAGTTTGGATTTCAGAATGAAAGGAACGTAAATGATTAAACACTTCTGAACGGTTTTTCATGAAGTATAACCAAGTAGATCGAGAATAATCATCTACAAACGTAACAAAATACTTAAAACCAGACTTAGACGTTACAGGACATGGGCCCCAGACATCAGAATGTACTAATTGAAATGGGGAAGCAACCCGTTTATTGACTCTAGGACTTAAGTGAACACGTTGATGTTTGGCAAACTGACATGACTCACATTGTAAATACTGTAAATGGGAAAATTCAGGACACAACTTCTTGAGACTCTGTAAGGAAGGATGACCTAGTCGAYAATGAACTTCAAAAGGAGATGATGAACTGGAACTTGCCAAGGAATATGGTTTGGGTGGTTCAAATATGTATAGGCCATCCGATTCCCTTCCTCTACTAATAATCCTCTTCGTCTGCAAATCCTGAATGACATAGTAATCAGGAAAGAATGAGACACTACAATTCAAAGTGCGAGTAATTTTGCTCACAGACAGTAAGTTAAAAAAATTGGTAGGCTCAGGACTGAGGATAACGAGACAGATGGGGACAATTTAACAGTGCCAGACCCAATTATTTGGGAGACAGATCCATCAGCTATTATGACTTGAGCTGAGGATGCATGTTTATTGAAATTTAGGAGAAGGTGAGAATTACCAGTCATATGGTTTGAGGCACCTGAATCAATGACCCATTTGGAGGAGGATGATACAAAGCATTTGTCAGAGTTACCTGTCTCAGCAAACATAGCAGTGGAAGCAGCGGGGTGCTCATTTACCAGATGAGGTTCCTCTTTGTGTCTCATAGCTGTGTCATCTGATGTAGTTGCAGCATGTGCTAAGGAGAGTCTCTGATTTCTAACCTGTCGTTTCTTGCAATTAAACTTAGTATGACCAAGTTCACGACAGTAGTGGCACTTTACGTCTGAGTTAAAATCAGTTGGTCAATCATTGTGGCCTCCTCTAGTGCTACCCCTTCCACGATAGCTACCTCGAAAACCGCCACGGTATCCACCTCGGCTAAGTAAAGCCGAATTATGATCAGATGGTGGAGTAGGCTGAAAATCTTCATGCCGAAGAACCCGAGCAAGAGTCTCTTGAAGAGAAGGTATCACGGATTCATTTAAGAAATAAGATCTGATGGAATTATATTCTGGGCATAAGCCAGTTAGGAAGCTTATGACAGCACTCTGTTCCCTTTGAGTCTGCATAGTTTTCAGATCAGTACTCAACGGGAGAAGAGAGTTCATTTCCTCATATATCTTCTTGAATTCCATGGCATAGGCGGTAAGTGATCGGTCATGTTGTTCCCCACGATGGAATGACTTACATACGTTGTAAATCCTTGAAATATTACTTTGTCCGGAGTACAGGAAGTCAAGATATTCTATTAGCTCTTTCACATATTCACAGTGACTGATTAAAGTTGAAACGGAGGGATCAATAGAAATTATAATTTGCAAGAACATACGGGCATCTTGTTGTAACCAAAGGTCATGATTACCCGTAGTGGGAGGGTCAGATTCCAGATGGGAAGCCATTCCCATACTTCGAACATACAAACGAATCGTTTTGATCCATTCGAAGTAATTGTTACCATTAAGCTTGTTTTCTGTAACTTTACTACTRGCTGAAATTATGTCAGGAACACGAGTACTACCGGAGGCTTTATCATCAGTGTTCGTCATATTAATTAAATCAGAAACGAACACTCAAGGGACAGATTATCAAAAGAAACCAGACTAAATAGATAGCAATTAACAAAGTTTGACCAAACGGATGAGATCAGATCTGTTGCGACTAGATAACAACAAAATTAGACCAAAAAAGATGCCGGAAAACAAACCAGATGGGGATTCCGACCAACAAAATTAACAGAGTTACTGTAACTCCGGCGATGAACAGTAACGGCGGTGATGAACAGTAACGGCGGCCAACCCTAGGCTCTGATACCATGAATCAGAGAGAGAACTAGGACCGAGATATTAGAGAGAATTCTCTATTATATGATTAATCAGAATATTCTAATTTACAAGAGGAGAGACACTATATATAGACATAATTACACGGGAAACCCTAACCCTAAAGCCCATCCGGCTTGGACACATTACCATAAACAGGTTACTTAATTAACATATTTCTAATGTCCAAGGTTGTTTATCTATATTTGAAGGGGCAATTGTGTAAAAGTCCATTCTAAAAGATTAAGTGGTTATTGAACTGGTCCAACCGGTTACGACCAGCCAAGGATGGACCTACAGCGGTGTGTCATCGTACTATTTCCCGTTCAAGGCTAAAAAGGTGTTTAGGTTCATAAAAGGTGTCACCATATAATTTCTTTTGTGCCACGATATGTATATTGAAGTTATAATGAGAACAATTTTTCTTCGGTAGAGTTTGGTTGCAAGACTTTTGATCCACCTCTGGCTTGAGTTTGAATCCTGTTAGTGTCATTTCTGTAGTCAAATGGTGTCACGGTTTGAAAAAATTTATAGGTCCGTTCCCTGCTACTAGCTACGGTTATTATATCTAGAAACTAGTCCATACCAAGTTTGTGATTAACCAGTTTGTCCATCTCTACTTCTGATTTTAGTTATATTTCTTGCAAAATTTTCCCAAAAATTGAACCTAAACCTAAGAAATCGATAGATACAAGACCATGCATATAGATATAGAGGACAAGAAGTTGAAATCAACCTATAACCAATGGCATTATGCTATTTTGTCATTTAAATCATTTTGATGTTTTGGTTTGTAAGAATTTTAATATAGTTATATATGTTCTATTTATTACTTGTTCATTCGACCAATAGTCTTACATGTGTAACAGGGCCTTCAAGTACATTAGAACGTCCATGATGGCATACAATAATTGAATATAAAATACTTAGGGTGTTTGGTTTATGTATGGAATGAAATTGAATTCCATACATTTCACCATTCATAGATTTGGTCATTCTCTCACATTTCAGAAAGAATTTAATTCCATTTCATCCTATTTTCTCAAAAAGACAAAATTGCTTATCTTCCCTACTTGATTTGAACCACCGCCAACCATTGTCAACCACATCGGTTTGAACACCGCCAACCACCACCGATCGGAACCATCGTCGACCACCACCGATCGGAACCACCATCGACCACCGTCGATCTGAACCACCGTCGACCATCATCGATCTGAACCACCGTCGACCACCTCTACATGAACCACCGTCGATCTAAACCACCGCCCGACCACCACCGATCTAAAACCACCGCCCGACCCACCAACGATCTGAACCACCACTCGACCCAGCACCATCGACTTGAACCACTGTCGACTACCATCGAACTGAACCACCGTCGACGACCACCAATCTGAACCATCGTTGACCACCACCGATCTGGACCACCATGAATCAGGACCACCGTCGACCACCGCCGATCCGAACCACGGTAGTTGGATTTTGGTTTCAAAAATTTCAAAAAAGGGTATTTTGGTCGTTTACCAATATTTGATTCCAATTTCAAAGCTACATATGCCAATCAAATAGACAGATTCTAATTCCCTTAACATATTCCATTCAAATGTTTGTCAGCTAAACAAGTGGTCAAACCTGATAACATTTCATTTCAATTCCTTCAAAATCAAATTTATTTGACAGATTTCATTTCATCCAAAAAACATTCTTCGTATCAAACGCTCCCTTAGAGTAAGCAATCATGAACTTCTTTAGAGGTTCATGACTTTGCCACCTCAGTTTCTCTTTTTTAATAAGATTAATCGAAAAATATTAAACATTTGACTCATTCTGAAGGTATTTTTTTTAAAGTGAAACGTATTTTTTTAATATATTTTAGTTAATATACGATTATGAATGATAATATGATAATGGTGTAAAATGAAAAAGAAAGAGATATAAAGTAAATTAAATTACTAACTATAAGGGTATAAAGTGTAACTTAAAAATTAAAAATAATTTGATTTTAATATTATCTTTGAAAAGTGGAAGTTTCATGGGAGATGTTTAGCTTCAAAACTTGTACAAGTTGCATGTAGTACCTCTTAATTTTCAACACAAAACAGTTTAGCATGCTTATATATAGTATAGATATATATACCCCTACAAAGCTTCAGTTTCATGGGAGATGTTTAGCTTCAAAACTTGTACACAGTGCATAAGGGGACCTCTTAATTTTCAACATAAAACCGTTTAGCATGCTTATATATATAGTACAGATATATACCCCTACAAAGCATCAATTGCAGCCCCTACCCCACTAACTTTAATTGCTTCCAACTTATGGATTCTCTCCATTGTTTGTAATTTGTAATCCAATCGACATCTATGATATGATGAATGGAATCCGCTTAGTCCGACCAAAGGACGAAAGGGGATCCTACAATTTCATCATGGTTGATCCTCCATCCCTAGAATCGACATCTGCTCATCGTCTTGACATTTGGTAAATAGATCTTTGTTTTTTGTTAATCTAATCGCATATGGAGTTAGGAGTTTAATAGGCTATTCAAAATTACAGATGGATTTTTTCTTTGTATCAACTCTTCTAATTCATCCTCGTGCAAATGTCAAACATTCGGATAATGGCCCATCAAATTACAAAACTTGATAATTGCAAATAAATAAGCAATGTATTAAACACAACCAACATTTTAGACTTGACAAGTGATGAGCGAAACTCAATTTTATTTGCTTTGCTACTTCAATTACACGTCTATTCTCTATATGTTTCTTCCTCTATATTTAACTCAGCAGTATGCTCTTATCATGTGATTGTGAAGGGAAGGAGAGGAACTCCATTCATTCTTGGCTTGCATCTGTTAGAGAAAGACGTCTGTAGTTTATTTAAAGAGAAAGAAATTAATGTTATCGGTGTTCTTTTTTCTTGTGACTTTGTGAATGTTACATTTAGATTACAATCTTTCTTTTCTCGTCATTCATGTTTTCTGTTTGTGTAAATTGATCATTGTACTTCACATACTTGCTCCCTCGATAGGCTTTGTAATTTGATTATTATAATGCATATACTGATAGATTTTCCATGAAGGTAGCTTGTCTACTTTCCACTTTTTCTATCTACATGTCTAATGTCATTAGTTCAATCCATGAATATTATTGAATTAGTTTCTATTTGAATTGTTGTGATGAAGTCGGTTGAACTTTTTTAGTTTCATTTGAATTGTTGTGATGAGATTTATTGATTTTACTTCTTCACTAGTGATGAGGACACTTGGGTGCTGAAAATGATGTTGATTTTGAGTTATCGTATTATGGATTATCTTATTAATTGATGGGTATTGGAGATAGAATTCATTTTTAATTGTTGAATATGGATCATCTTTTTAATATTCATAAAAAAAAATTGGTTACATATTCACAATAAAGTAATGCTGCATACGATTTTATATCCGATCAACAGACGGGTCTAACACTAATTATAATAATTTGTGTTCTAAATAAAAAGATATTTATTTTATTAAAAAAATTCGGTTGATCATATGTTAAAACAAAATAAATAAATGTTATTTGAAAAATAAAAATAAAAACAAAATAAATAAATGTAATTTAAAAAAATAAATAAATAATATCTTTCCACTACTTTACACTTCATGAAGATGAAGCGGTTCCTTATTCTATTTAATTTATGAATGTCGTCATATTAGAAAATATTGTTAGACCCCAGATCCACAGAAGATTAACGTTAAAGCATTTATAAACAAGAGATTGTTGAAGACATGAATAGAAGCCGGCTGTTTTCTTTATTGAATAGAAAGGAAAATACATAACTCTCTCAATGACCTAATTGACTCTCATGCGAAATTCATTTTTTTTATTGCCTTAGAGGAAATACCCTTTTATAGGTGTTTCCAGAAAAGGCATCTTCTCGAAATACATCTTTGCAAAATCAACGCGTCCACCAATCTGTTGCCTCTACGTGTTTGATTGTAGTAACCGTTTCTGAATACATGTCGGACAGAGGCTGGAACGCTGTAAGATGAGTTGTGTAACCTTCATACAGACGGGCTAAGTAGGAGACCCAGAGGCTCTGCATGTACTATGCAGAGGCTCTGTGTCTGGGAGTTAAGCTCTGTATCCGAGTACTTGACTATTTGCTCTTCATGTTCTCTGTGTCTGAGCTTTGTATCCGAGCTCTTGGTTTCAGACAACTGTATGACTAAGTCCTCTTGAAGTAAATCATCTTCAGACTTCTTCATATTTGACACTTAGAACACTAAAGTCTTTGATTCCAGAGATCTGAAAATAGTCTTTCAGAGCATAGTTCAACCAGAGGGGTTGTCAGTTGTTGTTGCATTGACACTTAGCATCCAGAGCATAGTTCGTCCTGAGGGGCTTTGGTCCTGAATCTAGAGGCTCTGGTTGTTCTTTCAACCTTGGTCGTTTTAGCATAGATCAGATCTCTGAATCTTCCATCTTTAGCTCGAATTGCTTTAATAGAACTTTCAGATTATTTAGAACAATTTTTGTCCTAACAAATATCAAGTTAAACATGTGTTCGAAAGACGTCAAACATTCCTCCAAAAAAGCTAGAATATGGATGAAACATTTTAGATAAGCCTCAAGTATTAGCTTCTAAATATCAATATACCATGTGTTACCAAAAGAGATGAAAGCTGGATGAATCCATCCTGAGTTTCATCTTCGACATATAAAAGGAAAAGAGAATAAAACAAAGAACAAACCATTCACAAATAAGAAAACTCGAAAAAAAAAAAAGTTAGATTACCGACAACCCTAATATGTCCCACATAAATTCCACCTTCAAGGACATCAATATGAAAAGACATTTTTTTGGTTCGCACAACGGTAGAGGCTAGCAGGGCCGGGGGTATCAAGCCCGTGACGTGTCTTGTATATTTGGACAAAATCGCCCAAAGGGTGTTTGTCAACTGACCTACACACAATCTACTGTTTGCTTCATTATTTTGTGTTTTCTACTACAAGAAGATTACCAAAAGGTCATTCGCCCAGCAGTTACCGATAATATGTACTTAAGAAAGACAACACAAAAGCAAAACTACCCAACAAAGAAAAATTAAAAATCGCATAACGAACATGTTGGCTGTAGTCGACAACTTTTAACTTTAAATACTTTGTCATCCAACAAACAGTTGCCTGTTTCACTATGTCTAAGTAACTACGACCAACGATACATTCTACTTTTGGCATACATGATTGAAAACAGCAGCCCACTCTTGTTTAGTGGCGAGCGGTAGACTCCAATCGCCAATGCTCGGAGACCAAACATCCTCCGTTGCATAGCTCAGGCACCAACTAACCTTTTCTGGCGGATTTCGGAAATCGAAGGTGAAAGCAGCATGAACTTTTTTCCTTGCACCCGTCTTCTTTTTACTACGAGGGGCGGAACCCTCCGAGGTCTGAAAAAACATCATTGCATATAATAAGCATAAACTAAATTTGAATGAGTTGATGCAAAACAGAAATTACGTTTTATTAGCTTACAGCGTCATCAGAATTAGAAGCTGGCTTCTTTCGTTTGCTCCCTGTTTCTAGAAAGTTCAGCACTTCGTTTTTTGAGCGCAGACGATGACCTGATGGTGCAATATAGTACTGTTCAAAGCAGACATGCACCATATGTTTAGTAATATGAACATCTGAACTTAATGCCAGCACATAGAAACAGAAACATAACTACATCATCAGGATTGATACCAATCCCCTTTTAAATCAGATGGGCCCGAAGTGATGGCCTTTTTTACTTGATATGGTAACCTTTTAAGTCACAAACAGTTCAAACCTAAGAAAGATGATCCAACAAGTATATGTGTGTGTATATATTATATCCACACGTAGGCAAATCTAGGACTGAGAATCACAAGCTGCAAAATCTTGAATTATGGCAATCAATGATGGGTATCATATTTTACAACCATCAATGTGCTATAAACCAAATTGGTAATCTCTCTCTATGGAAATATGGTATGAGTAGAATACTTTTCTGCGAGGTGCAGTCCATTCCTAGTACTGCCTCAGCAGTCAGTCAAGTCATCTACCAGCCTCATTGCATGTGCCCAACCTTGAATTGCAACTGGCCGATTGGGTGTTTCTTATAACATGACATGGAATAATGATCGCCTCATTTAGAATCTTGCCACCAATCCCATGCTTATAAAGCCGATGGATCTTCTTGTCGTATTGGCAGTGTAGTTTGATGACCTTTCTCTTCACGTCCTGACTTTTCTGAAGACCCTTCAACATCAATCAACATATTTATTGTTCTCTAACATATTCCCACTTTCAGGATTCTGGAAGAAATCAGTTTGATTAACACAAACAATGAGTTGATGGGACTTTACTGACGAGATATTTCAGTAGCTAGGGTTGCAGTGTCCAGGATGCTCGAACACCGATGAGAGCATTTCCCTCATGAATTTGTAGAATTTTCTAGAATCAGTCAGTTCCAAGATTTATGTGAATTGTGACAGTTGAGAAAGCACAAATTTAGAACCTCCACGAAATAGGCCTAATAGTCAATTCTGAGATTTTATGTGAATTGTTTCTTCATATATGTTTCCTGTCTGCTCAATTTTGTTGTGATCATTCTTATGTCACAAAATTCTATACTCAAATGAAAAATGTAGATGTGACTTTATTAATTTGTATGTACCCATGTTCAAACTTGAGTTCAGGCTTCCGTTAACTATAGTGATGATAAAGTTACAGAATAAGTTACTTCTCATGGGATTCACATGGATTTTACATTCTTACTATGATGCACCTTTCAGGTAGAACAAATCACTGTTGTCTCTCATGATTCACTGTACTCTTTCTTATGCTCTTTCAAGCAGCTCTCGTGGTAAATATCCCTAATCCATACAGGATATTGAATATCTTCAGGTATGATTCTCTAATGACAAAATGGCAGGTGATACCAAACTAGATCCCTTCACACATCTGTTTATGGTTACTCTTTTTGTATAATAAAGAGTCATCACTGCTATCTATAGTCTAAGCCTCTAAAAAGATGCTTACAGATAAGAATCCAATAAGTCAGATTCTGTTTTCCTCTTGCAAGTGATACCAAACCCCCTCGTGTTCCCATACTCATAATGTCAATAGAGTACCCACCAAAAGTTCTATGCAAAACTAGCTGACCTGTTCGGGTCGCTTGACTTAACATTGTTTAAAAATAACAAAGGCACTTGAGTATCCAAATGACAAAAAGGGTATAAGTCGATAACGTCATGTAAAAGATGGTTGCACTTCAAAAGAATGCAACATAGGTCCAGCAACTCCTAGACTAACAGATTGCTCAGTTGAATGGTCCTCTTCAATGCCAAAAGGCCTGACAGGTGGCTCAAAGTTATTTACAGGCTTAGGAACATAAGATCTTCTCTCCTATAGTCCTATTGTATAAATACAGCTCCATAACAGCTCATTTATCATAGACAAAGAATGTCTTTCTCAATTGCCTTCTCAAAGAAGAGGCATACATGGATCAGCATGGTGGTGGTGGTGGTGTTTAGAATGAAGCTTTATAGTGTTATCTATGAATAGTTTTGTATAAACTAAAATAGTTCCCTAGAGCTCGGTTTTGCCAACTAATACAGACCCTTTGCTGGCTAGATTTCTCTTGGAATAATAATTAGCATTCTGCCTTTTGTAGACAAAGATAGAGGATGGGTACATGTAAATGTTGATAATACGATCAGAACATCCAAAAGGCTGAGTTCGGAATATGTTTTTCTTAGTCGGTTATGGAATTTATATATTATTGTACTTTTTTCATGTCATTGAGGTGTTTGAGCTCAAGTCAGAACACTCAACTGCAAATAACGTAAGTTCAATCTCGTGTATTAGTGCAGGTTGCCAAAATGTAGCATGTATGTGTAAGCCAAAAAGTGAAGGAGAACTATGGGTAAGCAGATCTTTCTTGGGATGATTTGTCATTGGTGCTAATTCAAGGTCAATTGTAGATTTTGCAAGGGAAGGTTTCATGTTTAAGCTAGCAAGGCAAGTTCCTGATTACTAGGACTAGGAGGTTCACCACATGTGACCAACTTTCCATAACTTCAATCCACTAGAGCTCTGTCTTTTGCTACCACCACCGCCATCGCCACTGACCACCGTCGTCACCGACGCTGTCAACGCTTATTTTGACTCCATCAAAACCTAACGCTCAAGGTTTCTGTTTGGCATATGCAAATGAATCATCCAAGGAAGTTATTCAAAGGCAAAATGAGGTAGATGTTGTCCCAAAATATTATGTTACCTGTGATGTAGATGTGGTTGATGCAGAGCAACTATTTTTTATTCAATACCCTAGCGGAATCACAGGAAAGCCGAAGGGGGTCTGCATACTACAGAGGGATACATGATAATCACTGCAGCAACACTGAAATATGATTTGACTACAGGTCGTCAGATATATATATTGGTGTACAGTGGTTTTGTTGGATTACAGAACACCACTATGTGGCTGGCATATGGGCCTGAGTTTAATGGAGCAGTATTTGTGATTTATGAACAGGTTTTTAATCACCGAGGTTCTGGACAAAAACAAGCACAAGGTGACAATATTCTTCACTGTCCTTACATTAATTGGATTTGTGTTTGATAGGTCACGTCCCCCTCACACGCCAAACCTTTTGAAAGACATCTCTTGTGGGAGGACAAGGCTCTTATCCCTTTTGAATATTGTCGTTATCCATGCCATACACAAGAAGATATGGGTTGCAATGTCTGTTCTTTCAAAAGCCATTGTTGGAAATTATATACATATGGGTGTTATCAAACGGAAACCTAGAAAGGTAGTTTATGCATTCTTGGAGATTCTAATCAACAACCATGTTGTTTATATGATGAACTCGGCTATGAACACTTCTATGCATAAAGTTAGCTCGTTGGAATCTGGATTAAAAGGTATCAAGACAAGCATCTCAACTCATACCGCACCTGCAATTGATTGTTTAGTTGCGTGTTATTTCAACATTGCCATCACAAAGTCTCTGACTTCATCGCATACAGCCAATCTCATTTGGCTTATTGCCCTGTGCTCAACATTGCTCCCCAAAAGATTGAAGACCCTGTTTGGGATTGTTTTATTCAACGGCTATAGGATTCAGTGGAACCTTAGCAGACCAATGCTAAGCTTGGATTAATCAATGAGCAAAAATTATAAGATGAACGCGTTATGAGTCAATTCAGGTTTCATTTCTTTCCACCTTGAGGACAGGGTAGAAGTTTAGGTGGCGGGTATTGTTATACCCCTAATATTAGCCACACAAGTAAGGTGGGACTAATTCAGGGTCATTCTAGAAGGTTCCAGAGATAGTAGTGGGGAAGGGTTAGTTTGGGCGGGAGAATCTGTTTAGCTGTGTATAAATAAGAAAAGGGAAGGCCTAGAAAGGATATATGATTTCTTGGTTATTTTATGAGCTAAAGCCTAGGAGAGCGTCTGGCTTCTCGAAAGCCAGTTCACCCTTGTATATTACATATATCTTTTGTTATTCGATTCAATTATCCAACTAGAGGGTATTTTCAAGAAATTCTAGCCAATTTGTATCGGTGTGTGGAAACGGATTACAAATACAAAGATTTCTAGGATACACCAAAGACGAGTCAAACTAGGGTTCTCAATGTACCGAATAATGAGGCAACAACGATGGTTATCAACTTCACATGCTTTTATAAGAATTTAACAAAACTTACAACCAACTCTTTTCATATGCCCATGATGATCTTGATTTGAATTTTACCTCATATAGAATGTATGACAACTATGTATGTATGATTACACTTTAAGTACACATACCATATGGTGAACATATATAATGAAGTTTCAAAGTGTGTCTCTTTGTATGCATATATGTATATATACACTTGGGATCACGTGAGACCAACCAGTTTTCGTGAGACCTAAGAGACCACTTTTTTACACTTGAAACATCACAGCAAACACTGAAGGTAAGTTGTGAAGGTTCCTCTGCTGTTAATATCGTGATATATCGTCGATATATCGGATATCGCTCCTAGAGAAAATATCGGTCCATAAATATCGGTCAAAATATCGTCCCCGATATTATCGGCGATATTTTCCGATTTTTCCCGATTTTTAGCGATATTTTGATGCAAATATCGGACCGATATATCCATTTTTTAGGGTTTAAATATTTGGGCTTTTGTTACTTCATGGGCCTAGTTTTTTGGGCTTGGTAACTTAAATAGGTCTGAAATTGATATGCCTCCACAACGGTCTTCTTCTTTCTTTTATATTAGCTCGTTTTTTAACACTTTAGATGATGTGATGTTTTAATTTTGAAACTATATTTCTAAACTCTAATTAATGCATATTATATATATAATTATAAGAAATATTATGTTAACCGCTATTTTGGACCGATATATCACCGATATATCGAATATCGGTCCTAACCGATATTTCGTATTCTGACCGATATAACAACATAGGAAGGTTCGGAATTTTTTTTACCTTCACAGTGTTTTGTTATTAAGTTTTAAGTGTAAAAAAGTGGTCTCACAAGTCTCACGAAAACAGCCTGGTCTCACGAAAACTCAACCCTATATATATATATATATATATATATATA